GAGTGAATATGCCTGAGAGGCAAGGAACCAGCAGTCTGCATACAAATGAGTCAGATCTGTAAAACGGATGCACACGCAACACTCAGGTTCTGGAACAGGACTGCAGTCCAGCGGTGGATAAACAACCAGAACTCTCCTCCAGAGTTTACAGCTGGTGAACGCGAAGAAAAAGAAGGAAACAAGTGCACTAAGAACAGGGTCAACTAGGCACCCCCGAGAAATAAATACATTAGAAATGCAGTCACACCTGATCAGTAGTTGCACACGCGAGTGATCGCATAAGACCCCACCAGTTCTCTGGCACCAGACCACTCGGCATCTCTGAATAGGCAGTTTCCAAAAGAAGCCATTTTTATAAACGCCATTACCATCAACGTTGTAGGCCGCATTTGTTTCAGCTCAGCCGTATCACATGCTTTATTATTTTCTTCTACTTCTTTGCGTTCGGTTTCGTATGCTCAGATCAGACCATCAGCTGGGTTGCCTCTATAAACTCGAATGTCAGTAGCAGGTCCTTCATGGTTCCCTATAGCTTGTTCTACACACAGGTGTCTTTTCGAAGTTGTAGGTAGAGTGAGCAGGTCTGCAGAATCGGGCGAGGTGTTTCGGGCCCTGTTTGACAGACACACTGTGGGGACTGTACAATCTTTATTTCATGCATGTCGTAGTTCAACCTGTAGTGTCCTGGCGCTTTATTACGACTACCGACACCTTTTTTAGACCCGTTGTGGTAAGAACCGACACCTTTTTTGTTTCTAGACAGAATAAAATCCCTGTTCGCTATACTGCACATGCTTTGTTATGTAGACGAGGTACTTCGGTTTCACTTTACCCCAAACAAAGGATATTCAGGAGCTCACGAGAACGTACAATATTCTAGGGGTGTTATGGGTTGGGGTTAGTATTAGAATTAGGGTCAGTTGGTGTCTCTGGAGCTGTCGGGGCTGACACAGATAAAGTTCATTTTCCTGCTCGGGAACGCGGGCGTTCTCTGCGTATTGTTCCACCACATTCATTTCAAACCATAACACCCCTAGAATATTGGACTTTCCAGGCAACTCCCGGGTTTATTTGGTAGGGATGAATTAAAACTGAAGCACCGGAGACGAGGAAAGTAACCATCACCATGGGCTAGGATTAATGTGTCCTTATAGCACAATAGAATTACTGGACGTAAATTTGCCTAGAAAAACCACACAACAGCGAGGGGCTGCTGGGGTTGGTTCTGCAACGTCCTGTAAAGGATACGCAACTAACCTTTGCACAATAGAACACTATCGTCTGAGAAGATGAACAGGAGCCAGGAAGCGACATACCTCTGTCGATTCTAACATTATCCGTTATCATTTAGAGGTCTGTGTGATCTCGAGACGTAATGTCTGCCTCGAGTGCTAGAGTTTAAAAACAAGTAACAAGTACAGATCCCTTTTCACGCCTTAGGCGCATTTGGTATATGGGAAGAGCGTCCCATATTTTTACAGACAAGGTGGCACTGCATGAGTAATGTGGTCAGCCGTCTTTACTTCCACAGGACAGTCATCCTGGTACCCATTTTAGGCTGGGTCGACCTGCGACGCCCTATACCACGATAAAATTCCACGCAGCCAGCAGTGGGTTTCGATCGCGGTATGTTGGAATTACGAGTCAGACTCGCAACACCTAAGCCACGGACGCCGCTCAAATAACGAATAATTGCATCTCACTAGGAGATGGTTTGAATTCCGGGACCAATCCCCAGTAAGGGCTGGGATTTTTTCACGTGGACTTGGACTTCTAGTAATTCCCCCTGCCAATAGCAATGGCAAACTACTGGACGTAAATTTGCCTAGAAAAACCACATAACAGCCAGTGGCTGTTGGGCTTGGTTCAGCAAGGCCATGTAAAGGATACGCAACTAACCTAACCTCTTGGTAGTGAAATCAGACGCCCGGGTGTATTGTTGTGCACGTAAAAAATCCCTTAGCAGTTGGAAATCGAAAACAGTACGCTAATGGCGCTACCCGGACAAAATTTGGAGTTTAAAAATATCCAAAATATTTCAGGATTCTCGCAGATGCTACAGAGCCTGTGCACTGTTCTGAGCTCTACAGTTAGAAGAAAAACGGATCACTTAAGGTTACTACCTGTGGGCCATGATGTTGATCCGTTGTTAAAAAACCTCAAATCCATCATCCTTTTTGAAGTTTTAAATTTTTCAGTGAAGTAATTCTATTTTTACTTTAACCATCCCATTTAATTAAATGTAACTAATGTGTCGTAGTACATTCGAGTATTATTTACTTTCTGTTTAAATCTTCATTTGGCTTGCTTTGCGGGTCACGTTGAACCAGCATCCCTGAATGGGGAGCTTTAGGTTATAATTATGACTAGGTAATGTGCGCTAAATAAAACTGCTTGGCATTGCACGCCACCAATAGAACTGAAAAGGACTCCTGTAGTGGTGAGGCGATCAAAGAAGATACTCAAAAAAGGAGCAAAGTTTATAAATAGCAGAGTAACAAGGGCAGTAATCAGGCAATGGGAAAGTATAGCGGCTTGTGAGTTCTGGAACCTGTCCAGACCCAGAGAGATAAACTGATTGTGGCACTGGGTCAGGAAGTGAGCAACGCGCAGCACAGGTGCCGGTGGCGATGCCAGATTATCTGTTTCTACCGGATTCCTCCGATTTTTTTATTCTTTATTCTTTCTCCCGCCAAAATTTTATTCCCATAGAGTAGGTTTTTAGTATGTTGATTAATAATGGCGTTGAGCGAGTGAGTGACCTTTAACCGCAAGAGGGCCATACAATGAGCGGTAAACACCCAGTGACATAAGCAGCCACCATCCAGAGAATGTTTGAGAATCCCCAGGACACAAGTTCCAGAAACCGTGTTCAACCGTTAGGTTATATTACGGCCCCCAACTAAAGCCGGGAAATCGCCGTAGTGTAGCGGTTAGACGCTTGCCTGCGGACTGGAGGGTCTTGGGTTCGGCTCCTGAGAAAACCGGACTTCCTTCAACAATGACCTTGGCTCCCAGGTCGATCCATCCTTAAGTGAGTGGCAGGTGCAGTCCTGGGATGTAAAGGCGGCCGGCGTGATGCTGACCACATCACCCACCAAGTGCCGAGTGGTCTATAACATATAGGTCTAACCCTATATGCCCAAGACACATAGAAAAGGGTCCTTTACTGGACTTTTACAACTAAACCGGGGCGGAGCTTTAAAATAACAAAATATTGCGTCCCAGTTTGGGAAGGAGTTCTTCATACAAAAATGTGTTTACAAACAAACGACAAGTCATCCCTCCGATCATTGTGTTTTTTTTTCTTCCTTTTCTTCTTCTTCTTCTTCTTCTTCTTCTTCTTCTTCTTCTTCTTCTTCTTCTTCTTCTTCTTCTTCTTCTTCTTCTTCTTCTTTTTCTTCTTCTTCTTCTTTTTCTTCTTCTTCTTCTTCTTCTTCTTCTTTTTCTTCTTCTCTTTCTTCTCCTGATACTTCCCATTTGTGCCCCCCCCCCTTTCATTTCTTCTTCTTATCCTACCTGTATCTCGACTGTTTTCTAGTTACACCCCCTTCCGCCACCCCCCACCCCCCATTATTGTTCTATTACTCCTTCCTTTACCCTTAGTTTTTCGTTTCTGCATAAAAAAAAAAAAAAAACTTTTGCTTCTTTCAAAATAAGATTGTACAGAGCTCTCTATTACCAACACTACGTCTATTCCGTTATATTAAACCAAAAACAAATGCAGCAAAGATGAGAAAAAGGAAGGGGGAGGGGGGGGGGGGGGGGGACATAAACGAAGCAAATTAATACGACAAGAACACACTTTATCAGTCCAAAACAACATCTGGAAGTTTCCCTAGAATAACACAAAAGCCAAATGAACATTATAAAACATTCCGCGCTTCTGTTTGTGGAGCAGAACGTGGAGACGGAAGAGGAAAAGGGGGGGGGCGGGGGGGGGGGAGAATTAGCAATCCAAACTGGCAGCTTGCCATACATATGTTCGTAAACTACAGTAAACCGTCTATTCAACAAGTACTGTTCAACGAATTTATGACTCAACGACATTACAGAAAGTCTTTTGTCTGTCCATGAACTTTCTGAAAATAAGAAAATGAAAATGTATTCCCACTCGTTTGTGAACGAAGGAACGAACCAACGAACGAACGAAATAACTATTTCCAAAGGGTTACAAATTGGGCACGCAAGCCCGTCTTACATTCGGCCCTTCAAGCATATTATGTTCATTTATCAAAATTCATTGCATACATGTAAATGAAAAATACACATTGCAAACACACACAGCCCACCCCACCCCCCCCCCACACACACACACCATAAACAGGTATATACACACACACACCATAAACAGGTATATACACACACACACAACATAAACGCGCATACACACAATCATGATAGAACATATCCACACAGACACAACACAAAGGTCCTTGGTTAGTCAGCATCGTTTGCTACACATCATGCGGGTGTGGTGGAAAGCGAGCAGACAGATAGAGTGGCTGGTTCTGCACCACTTGTGAGTGAATAGATGTATGACGAAAATTTGGAAGTCGCAGTTAACATCCACCACCTGGATCTATACGTCTGGACAGGCAGGAGTAGAAGGCAATGAAAGAGCCGACCTGCTGGCAAGTAATGCACCAATGTGTACGGGAAGAAGCACGGAGAGAGCTCATATCGTCAACGTGGTACGGACTATGCTGACGCATGATGAATCTCTGACGCTCACATGGCTATGTGAATCTGAGAGTAAAGCTTGGTGAAGCATGTCGATGATGTCTTCAAGGCCAGGGCAGGAGACACTATAACTGTTTGCTTATGGGAACAGTCAGTAGAGGTACCCGGAGTGGCTGCTGCATTGGAAGACTGAGCCCACAAGGCAATGACCAATGTGCGGTAACGTAGATTGTGATAACTTACCATAACATAGTTTTAAAAATAAATGATTACATTTTGCATTTTTTTTTTCCACAGGGCAGTTTCAGACAGTGAATATGTCCAACATGGACTTTGAGATCCCAGATGATATTGGTGAGTTCTTTAAGTTGCTGGTGATTTTCTTTCTTCTTCCTTTTCGTCTTTTAAACTGACACCAGGTTGTAGCCCCGTGTCGTAGTTTTGTCGTCTCACTGACACCAGGTTGTAGCCCAGTGTCGTCTCACTGATACCAGGTTGTAGCCCAGTGTCGTGGTTTTGTCGTCTCAATGATGCCAGGTTGTAGCCCAGTGTCGTCTCACTGACACCAGGTTGTAGCCCATTGTCGTCTCACTGATACCAGGTTGTAGCCCAGTGTCGTGGTTTTGTCGTCTCAATGATGCCAGGTTGTAGCCCAGTGTCATAGATTTGTCGTCTCACTGATACCAGGTTGTAGCCCAGTGTCGTAGTTTTGTCGTCTCAATGATGCCAGGTTGTAGCCCAGTGTCGTAGTTTTGTCGTCTCACTGATACCAGGTTGTAGCCCAGTGTCGTGGTTTTGTCGTCTCACTGATGCCAGGTTGTAGCCCAGTGTCGTGGTTTTGTCGTCTCACTGATGCCAGGTTGTAGCCCAGTGTCGTGGTTTTGTCGTCTCACTGATACCAGGTTGTAGCCCAGTGTCGTGGTTTTGTCGTCTCGCTGATGCCAGGCTGTAGCCCAGTGTCGTGGTTTTCTGTTTTTGTCCTGCGCTTCTCGGGTGGCTTGAGTGATGGATTTGAGCAGGCTTCAGCTACACCTTTTATCCATCTCTTTCTTGGTCTTCCCCTTGACTTCCTCCCAGATGTTCTGCTGTCAAAAGTCTCATATACTGTTTGGTCCGGCTGCATTTTTACTAGAGGGCTGAACCATTTCATTCATTGTCTGTTAATATAACACAGACATGGTCTTATTTTAACGTTCTCTCCAATGCTGGTATTCGTAACCCTGTCTCGTCTAGCACTGTGAGTTACCTGTGGAGACAGCACATTTCACATGTAGTTATTTTCTCTTCTAGTGTCTTATTTATTCTACATGTTTTGCTCTGAAAACATAAAGTAGGGATAAAGATGATATTAATCATTTGCTGTTGTGCTGGAAGGAAGACATATGGGAGTCTAAGGTGGTTTCTTTGGCTGTGAAATATTGACTTCTTTATCTGTGAAATGTGATTTCTTAGATTGTGATAATGTCAATTTTGTTTTTCATTGTGCGAATGTGATTTAACGTAGTTTCCATGTTGTAAAGTAAAACAAAAGGACATGACAGTGAACTTTTGTTTGCACTGGTATCACAAGCAGCTACTTTCTAAACTGTGACGCGACAAATTAGTCTGTCGGCTGTCTAACTGTGACATTGTCTACATGACGCTTGCATAATAAGCATCTGTCGAAGGTCATGCCGAGGTATTTCATCGTGTCCGTTCTTTCGATGTCTATACTACACATGCATACTGTATTATAACTGGTCTGTGGCAAGATTAAAGATAGTGTTCAGGTGCGCCATGTGAACTGTCATTACTATCTGTATTTATCACTTTTGTGGGGAAAGCGTGGGTGGGGGGAAATATTATTATTAGTCACTTAAAGAAAGTTTATGCCTCTTGATGTCCTACGTATAAAATTTATTGGGAATTAAATGCATTCTTGTGTTTGTTTCCCTGAACCGAACACTCGTGTGGTAACTAATCATATTTTTTAATTTGAATAGTTTCTTGCAGACATCGGGAAACCCCCGTGGTGTAGCGGCTAGACGCTCGCCTACGGAAGGAAAGTCATGGGTTCGTGACCTGACAAAGCCGGATTTTTGTTTAAATGACTCTGGTTTTCAGGTCGACCCAGCCTCGAGTGGGTACCAGGTACAGTCCTGGGAAGTAAAGGTGACCGGCGTGATGACATCACCCACCGAGTGCCCATTGGTCTATTGTTTGTTTGTTTGTTTTGGTGTCCAGAAGCCATGAGTTGTTAACCCTTAGGCTCGGTATTATGGATATCGCAACCATTCGGCCTTGATTGCATTGTAAATACCGTAAATCTGGGAGAAATGTGGCTTTTCTGCCTACCCCCGGGAGTGAACCAGGACCACAAGGAGTTCGTCACCCGGTCACCGCGCAATCCGGTTTAGCCAACTACGCTAGAGAGCTGCGCTACCATTGGTCGATCAAATATAGATCTCGCCTTATATGCCCAATACGACTAAAGGCGTGGAAAAGGGGCCTTTAATTTACTTTTTACTTGCAGACCTCAGTAAATGCCCGGGCTTGGTGGAGATTAACCAGAGCACCCCGAACTGGAAGCGGGACATGATCGAGAAGAAGAACCAGGAGAAGATTGAGGAGTATGTGGTAAGTTCCCACAAGAGGTCTTGTGGTTCTTAATTTATAACGTACCCCAAACACGAAATCCCCGTGGGGAAATCCACAGCTGACCTGAAAGTCCATTATTTCAAGGGGTGGAAGTGTGTTGTTGTGTGGTGCTTTTTTTTTTTGAGTGGTAATCTAGTGTCTTCTAATGCTAACCCTAACCCTAACCCTAACCCTAACCCTAAGCCTAACTCTAAGCCTAACCCTAACCCTAACCCTAAACTTGGGTGTAGATAAATCGCGAGAAACTACAACCTGAACACCCTAGAATTTATTGGGAATGTCTCCTGTGACGTTGTCGTGACGTCAGGGGTAAGTTATAACTTAAGGACCGAGGTCTTTTCTTATTCAAAGATTTATCAATCAAAGATTGGTCACCTATCGACTTTAACCTTCCCCGTGTGGGTTCCGGGGTCTTGTTGTAGACAAACAAGAATAGACCCACTGCCTAACCAACAAGCATGTCGTAAGAGTTTTCTAACTGTGAGCTTCGTTTGAAGTGAGAGTGCATTCGCCTCAGAGGTAAGGAACCAACAGTCTGCACACAAATGAGTCAAATCTGTAAAACAGATGCTAACGCTATAGTCGGGTTCTGCTGTTCAGAAGTGGACAAACAACCGGAACTTTCCACCGGAGTTTAGAGCTGAAGAACGCGAAGAAGAAGAAGTACACTGAATTTTTCCTAAATACCAACTGATTTTTTTTTCTCTTGGACACTGGACCTATTCTATCTAATCTGTTCTTTGCCTGTATGTTAAAATGTATAATTATGCTTTAAATTTATTAAAGATCATATACTCTACACTATAATTTTATTCTGAACTATATAATCTATACTTTGATTTTATTATAAAATTTTAATCTGTACGTATTTTTTTGACACAGACTGTCCAATCTAGACTTTGACTTTATCCTAAATTATCTAATCTGCACTTCGACATTGTCCCAATATTACCTAATCTATACTCTTTCTTTGTTACAAACTAGGTGGCATATATTTTTACCGAAACTATTTAATCTATACTTTGACTTTTTTTTTATAATGACTAACCTTATCTATGAACATGACCCTTTTTTATGCATAGTGTGCAGTTCAACTGGGACCACAAACACGTAAGCACATTCTGCAGACCTGCCCACTTTTCAAACAACCTCGAAAAGACACCTGGCCTCAAGAGCAAAGTGTGCAGAGCAAGTTATGGGGAACCATGAAGGACCTGCAGCTGACATGCGAGTTCATAGAGGCAACCCACCTGATGGTCTGATCTGAGCATACGAAACCGAACGCAAAGAAGAAAAAACAAAAAATGACTAATCTATCTATTTACGGCAGAATACCCGCACTAGTTTGATGGCGGTCTTTCTTTCCCCTACTAGAATATTACGACACATTTGTGAGTTACCTGGTGCAATACAAGTTAATTGGTAATCATGTAGCAGGTCCTTTGCAGAACGTCGCTCTCATCAAGGTCTGCCTGAAAGAAACTCGGTCTCTCGCCAGTTCTCCCGCTTCGTGTACTTTCAAGTTTAAGGATTTCTGATCCGATGCGGTTTTGATTCAACAACAAAATCGTCACGTTTAACCAGCATCCTCAAAGGGAAAGCTTTTGGTTATAATCGTGACAAGGTTATTTGTGCCATACACATTGGCTTAACATTGCTCGCCACCGAGTAGCCCTGAAAAGGACTCATGCAGTGTTGAAGCGATCAAGGGAGACTAACCCAAATACTGTTCCGACTAACGACGAGGTCGTCTACCGCCGGCCAGTGAATTTAAGGAGCTACTAATTTCCTGTGCCCATCTTCGTCTTGGTCGGTCCCTGCCCTTCATTCCTGGTACCATGCCTTCTACTATTGATGTTTTCCAATCCACAATGGCTCCTGATACAACCAGAATATTGCAGCTTCTGAGACAAGATGCTGTTTATTAGCCAATCTTCCTTGATGTTAAAATCTGTTTAAATGTTAGTATTTATTTTCTTCATTGTCCTTAGTATTCTGATAATTTTTGTGTATCATTTCAACTCAAAAGCCCCTATTCTCTTTTTTGAGGACTGGGAGATAGTCCACGACTCACATCCGTATGTTGCTACTAGGAAGATGCATGCTTTACAGATTTTTATCTTTATTTCCTTGCTTGTGCATAACTGGTAGTAAGTGAGTTAATTATAATTCGTTTTATCACCACAGAAAAAGGTACTGAAGGAAAGAGAACAAGAAGCCAAGTGGAAGAATGTCCCAGAATGGAAAAAGAAGATTCTACAGAAAAAGGATGAGGAGGTATGTTCTTCTTCTTCTTCTGCCTTTCAAGCCCTCAATGGAGCATGGGCTCTCAACCAACTCACACCAAGTCGTTCTATCCTTTGCTATCACATGCAACTCTCCCCATCCTTCTAACTTCATTCTCCAGCTCTCTTCTCCATGTCTTTTTTTTTTTTGGCCTTCCTTTATTTCTATGCCTCTGTGGGTTCCAGTGCAAAGACATTCTAGTTATATTGTTCTCCGGTTTTCTCAAAGTGTGTCCTATTCAAAGCCAGCGTCTTTTCTTCACCTCTTGGTCCTCTGGAGCTTGATTAGTTCTCTCCCAAATCTCCAAATTAGTTATTCTATCTTACCATTTAATTCCCTTTATTCTGCGCAGGCACCACACAAGGTATAAGACTCAGTTGTAGATAAAACAAGA